TGATTAGATGTTACTCTTTAATGCCAACTTGCCACTTACTAAATCAACTCAAATTTGTAAATTAGCACCTCAGTGGCTTAGATCTTTTTACATTTCTGTAATGATTTTTGATGTTGCATACTACCTCAAGCTTCCACCACATATTTGAATCCATCTAGTCTTTTATATTTTATAACTAAAGGAATTTTATACCAAGCCAAAATACTTTTTCGATTAATATCAACCACTACGACTACTAATTGTAGTTAATGACCAATATAAATATGAAGTAGATATCATTTTGGAGTAGCAATACCTTTGTCATGGTAGTAGACAACCACAACTTCAATACAATGTTCTTTCAAAAGATTATTCTATTTTCAAGAAACAATTCCAAGATACTATCAAGAATAAAACAAGGACATCCCACAATAATAAATGAGGATTAATTATAATAAGGTGTAGTTATGATATTTATATAAGGATAGATAGTTAGAACCATGGAAGTTTTTAGAATTGAGATTAAGTTAGTAGACTAGGTAGGATCCACCGTAGAATATTTTAGAAAGAATTAAGGCAATTATTTAGATAAAGTCGACCATGAAACCTTCTAAAAAAGAAGTTTAAGGTGTTTATTTAGATGGAGCCCACTACCTAAGAACATTCTAGAAAGTCTAAGGTAATAGAACAAGGTATAAATAAGACTGGCTAAGGCCTTTTGGAGTATTTGGTCAAGAATGGCTTCAGACGCTTCTTTCTAGTAAAATTTGACTTTGTATCTTTTTGTTCAGTTCTATTGTGTTTCATTTTTATTTGCTCAATTTTGTCTTTAATATCCTATTATGTTTAGTTCCATTCAATTTTATCCTAGTCTGTTTTGTCTTATTTTGTAATAAGACTTTATGTTGCTATAGATTAGAAGGATTTTAGATTTTTCAAAATAGTCTAGTCATATTTTATACATATATATATATATATAGATAGATATATATATATTCTAGTATAAAAGATCTATTTATATTTCTATTTTTTCTATTTGCCATTCTACCATCATCGTCATGGATATGCCTCCCTGCATGTCTTCCTATTGTATCCTTATCTTCTACATGTTTTACAAGTCAAGCTTCCAACTACTTACCTTTTACTTTCTTAATACTTTTTCTTTTATCTTCCAAATGGTCGTTTCATAATTAGTGGTGCAATGTTATTATGGCACAAATTCTTTATGGTCATTGAATGATATAGACAAAAATACAACATATAATAGTTGGCTATCATATATAATGGAAATACCAACAAAATAGAAAACCTTAACTTTGAGTTCAAAAGCAATGGCATAGCACTACGATAACAAGAAATACTAATATATTTTACAATTACAACTTATCTTTTCATTAGCATTTGATAGCAAAGTAATGATATTCTTCTTTCCTGAGGATGTTGATACCATGGTTCTAATAAAGGCAATTGAAATAATGATGTAATTATTATATAATTGATCAAATTTTTCATTGAAGCATTTTATAGGTACCAATGTTAATGGTGTAGATCATTCTTGGATAATTTTTGTATATTCATAAAACTTCTTTATTTTATGATCATAAATTATACTAATCATTTTAATCACCAATTTTTTATGTATCCCTCTTATATCTCAGTTTGCAATTTCTATAAGATTCAAGGTAACGTGATCAAACCGTAGACTAGTAATTGCATAGATTGCCCATTGTTCATGAGAGATATTGTTGATATATTTTGTTGCTAATACATTCTTCTCTTCAACTTTCTTCAATGCTTTTTTAAAAATTTTAGCAATATTTGCATAAGAAAATGCCAAAAAAGCTTTCTTGCATTCAATCTCAAAAAAAAAAATTCTACATTTTCAGTAATGTGAAAGTAGTACTATTAATTTATTGCAAGAGGCAATATTTATACACAAGCTTCAATCAATCATTTTTCTCTAGCATTGATGATGGTTGTTTCTTGTAAATTCACTTCAAAAATTGTCTCTTTTAAGTTGAAGAAATCAATATCGAGTATCCTTGTACTTATTTGGTAAGCTAACTTATTTGTACCAATTTATAAGCTAAAATTATTAAATTTATCCTTTCAATCCATCTCCACTACCAAAACAAATTACTAAACAAATCAATTTTTGGTGAAAGTAGCGTCAATTGTAACAAATTTTTATAGGTACTTGAAAGCATGCCATGCAGCTTCTAGACAAACAAAGCCTTTTAAATCACTAAATCATGTCTCCATCATTTAAAGTCTCAATTCTTTTGAGATAGGCAATAGTTTTGGAATTAACCTCTATTAATCTCTTTGTAAAGCTTTCAACGACTCAAAATAATTCCTTCTACGTATCTACAAATTCATATAGCATTTTTTCTTTTGTATTCTATGTAATGCCATAAGTGAGTTCAATGTTGTAGGTCTTCTTAAAAAAAAGATTGTTTGGCTTTTGGTTTTAATATTTGATCAATTTCTAGTAGCCACTCTTGAAGTTATTCAACCATCTATTTAGAATCACTGTATAACTCCTTGGTTTTGCCAATGTTCCTTGGTAAGCATGATCTAAGATTAGCTGAGTTACCTTTATTTCCTTTATTTTCTTATTGAAGTTTGCATGGACATAATATAAATACTCCACATTTTTGCAGCATGTTAGGATCATCTTTTGAGTGTTGCAAAACTTCACGTTATAGTTGTTGTTTACAACAACATGGTCTTGAATAGTTTATTTAATGTCATCAAAGAAAGTATACACAACCTCTATTAAAAAGGCCTTGGGTGGATGAACATTGTGCATTTGAATAGGAAGCATGATGACAAAGTCAATTTTGATCTTTCAAGTTCCTACACCTAGAATTCTATTTGTTCAAGTTCCTAATACTGTGTGAATAGAAGCAATATAACATGTTGTATCAATTACCTATTCTACATGAAATGCAAGAAGAGATGCTTCTAGTAGGTAGTATGTTCTGAATATATTCAAGATCACAACACTCAATGGTTAGTTGGTGAGTTGGTGAGTTGTTGGTGAGTTGCTGTAATTGATGATGGTTCTCTATGTAGATTGTTTGATTGTTCAAATTCAAAAGAAGATTATTTTACAAATTTTTGTGAAATAGGGTCATATTATCAAATAATGCCAAAAATAGGATCATATTGTGAAATTTCTCTAATATCAATTTTTTCATATTTTTATCTAAATTAAGTTTTGCATATAAATACAACAAATAAAAGATACCTCTAATTTATCTACCAAATATTCTTGTACTTCTACTTATAAAGAAAATTTTTAAAATTAAAAATTAAAGTAATTTAATAAAATTATCAAATCAACACAACTTCAACAAACAACTTCAATTTAAACAACTAAATATTTAAATATCAAATATTAAATCTTATATTTTAATTAAATAATAAATTATAGTACTATATATTTTTAAGAGCTTAAGTTGCATAAATTGACATTAAAATAATACATACAATTGGATAAAAAAAAATAATTGTTCAATTCTTAGATCCTATATACTTAAGAATTAAAAATATTTTAAAATGATAAAAAAACCAATTTCATGTAATAGAAACTATAAATAATTTTTTATTTCAAATAACAATTAAATAATACAATTTATAATTTTCAAGCAATGTGAAATCTATAAAAAAATTATATACATCTATTTATTTTTTTTAAAATGGTGTTTGTCCACAAAAACCATTTATTAGCATTGTTTAGAATTATAGATTTAAATCGTTTAGAATCAATTCTACCTCATCTTGAACCATCTCCCATTCCATCTTGATCTTCTTGTTCTCCTTGTCTCATATCTCCATTCCCAACTCCCATCTTGAGCATTTTTGTACTTGGATCCATTATTATTTGAATTAGTTAGAATATGATAATATACATGCTACAAATTACATGTTTTGAAATTATCTTCTTTGCATATTTATTTTCATTAAAAAAAAAAAAAAAAAAAAAAAAAAAAAACATCTTAATCAATTTCTAACTTACATATGCAATGCACTAAGTTGGATAATTCTATATGTCATGTTATTTTTATTTAACATATCTTCCATGTATATAGTGTATGAATTTGGATTTTTCCAACAAAATTTTATACAAAAAAAATTAATGTAAAAATAACAATAAATTGATTCAATAAACTTGATTTATTTATGAGTGCTCATTTATTAATTTAAACTTTTAAGAAGGTTTAAACCATTATAAAACTTTATTCTTAACCAAAAACAAAATTCTACAACTTTTAAAGATTACTATGCTTTTTGGTAATTTTTTTATAATACATTTTTATTACAAAAACATCTCTACTATATACAAATATCAGTGATTTAATGGTTATTGCAACAATTGTACAATCATTTAATATACTCAAGTTAAATAAGTTTCCTCTAGTATATATATATATATATATATATATATATATTCACTTAGGTTCTAATCCACATGTGAATCTTATTTAAAAGACTTGAATTATATCTCTATTTTTTTAAAGTTATATTTTGAATATAAACTAAACATATAAAACATTAAAAACCAATGTCACAAATCTCACAAACTTATTACTAAAACTTGTAGAAATTAACCTAATTCCAACCTCAAATTTCTATGTCCACAAACAAAACATTTGATCACTTATTTACAAATTTGAAAAATTTATTGAAAAATGCAAAATATAAAAATGAATGAGAAAGTAGTGACAATCAGGACAATTTTTGAAATAACTCATTTACCCTGTATAATCATTTCATAAATTCATTTGATATAACAGGATATTGAAACACATTCATTTCGATCTGTCGAAATGGATGAAGGAAACAGCAATAAAATGTTAATAATAATAATAATAATAATGTTTAATGGTATTTCATTTCCGCTCACGTGGAAGCTCCCTCCACCTGCCGCCGTGGCTGAACCGGTGACGTGGATGGGGCGTGGCATTGTCGGGGAAAAGTATAAGAATAGCTTGGACCCCTCTATAACCGCAGAATGCCATTTCTGTACGATGGATTAAGAAATCGGTGCGGATGACGGATTGCTCATCGTTGTTATGAAAATTCATGCGATCGAATTTTGCTGTTAACTAACAAGGTCTTGGTCGAATCAGCGTTTAATTGCCATTCTTAGGTCGAGGCTCAAGCTTCTCCTGACGGGAGCCAAGTATCTTTCACACACTTTGAGGTTTAGGGTTGGCTACTGTTAGCGGAAAGCTGTGAACACACCATACGATCCAGATAGCGACAATCTCTTGTCGATAAACAATCTCTTTCCGGTTGAGATGTAATTCTCCGTGGCATTGTATTGAATTGAATTGGTAAATTGGATCTAGGCGTTTCGCGGTTGCTTGATGATCACGCTTCATCAATTGGAATTAGTAGTCTTCTTCAGTGATTCTATTGCAATTTCAGCACAGTGAGTCAGGGATTACCCGTTTGAGTGGTTTAAGCTATCTGCGTGGGGGTTTGGACGTGGAGTGAGGCAATTGTTGTGGTGATTCCGGATACGTTTGGTCAGTCGAGACGAGTTTCAACAGCCTGAACTATCGTCGTTTGAGTTGAAATTCTTGGGAAGGTTTTATTACTCACCAGTATTTGTGAGCTCATTCTTCATTTCTTCACTTTATCTTGTTTAATCTTTATTTTTATGAGTAGGCAGAGCTTCTGTTATATTTGGTTCCAGTTTGTGCGTACTTTTTTGGTTGTTTAGCTGGTAATATGAGGATTGATGTGTAGTTGCAATGGGGAGGTATATCAATCATTGTTAAAGATATTCTGTTACAAATTTAAATTCGGGCAGAATCTCAGAGAATCTGTTTGTGATTTAGCTGCAACTAATGTGAGTTCATAATAATATTGTCGTGATTTGTGAGACAGTGTCATAGTGAATATTGGTTATGCCAGTCGGTGGATAATACTAATTAAATCCGTAAGAAAGATTGAGTAACACAAGCACAATCTATGTTGTATCTTTAAGTGTTTATTAATTTAGTTGTGGAAACTAAATTGCTCTAGCGATCCTCAAGTGCTTTCTTTCTGGCTTAAACCCTGAGCATGATATCGGGCTTTGTTGCATGTGTCTGATGAATTGAGAAGTATCTAGTTCAAAGATAGAGTTCACGTAGTAATTATCGACCATTGCTTCTTTAAGTTAATTTCTGAGATTTTCATTGTCGATATAGGTGCAATGGATATGGATGACCTAGAGGAAGTACAAGAAATCAAGAGGCAGGATTTCACAAAGTTAGAATTGAAACCAGATCATAGCAATCGTCCGTTGTGGGTGTGTGCTGATGGTCGTATTTTCCTGGAAACTTTCTCAAGTTTGTACAAGCAAGCGTATGACTTCCTCATCGCCATTGCGGAACCTGTTTGCAGGTGCGTAGTCACCTCTTTCCACGGCGTTCGTGGTTCGTATCTTAAAACGTATATTAACAGTTCTAGGTGACATATATATCTAGAAACCATTTTCGCTTTTGAGAGTACACCCTGATGAATCGGTCATTATTGATGGAATTGTTTTTTGTGATGGGACGCAGGCCGGAGTCAATGCACGAATACAATTTGACACCACACTCCCTGTATGCAGCAGTTTCTGTGGGTCTTGAAACAGAAACAATCATTACAGTTTTGGACAGGTTGTCAAAGACCAAACTCCCAAAGGAGATTCTTGACTTCATCCGGGGTTCAACCCAGAACTACGGCAAAGTCAAGCTTGTCCTTCAGAAGAATCGATACTTTGTGGAATCACCATTTCCAGAGGTTGATCCCTACACGAGTTCTTATCCTGCTGAAGTAGGACAACAGCTCCAGTGAAAGTTTGGATAAAGTAAATCTCGAACAATGTACTGGTGTCTGATTTGTGTTGAAACTGAGTTCGATGTTTTTTGTAGGTTCTTCAGGCTTTACTACGTGATGATACCATTTCACGAGCAAGACTTGCTTCCAGTGAGGTGAGCATGTTCTCATGTCAAGGTCGAACTCGATCTTCATGTTGGTAATGTTGGTTTGTCTGCCGTTAGAAGCGAGACATGATCCCGTTTTAGCTTTATGCTAATGATCAGCAGAAACTGGTCTTGTTTGTGAAGTCTGTCACGACAGTTATTTTCTAATGCCCATATCCAACGTTTGGATTTCATGATGGATTCACTGTTGATCAAATTTGATGGATTTTTGCAGGAACCTGGAGTTGGGTCCTCATCTTTCACAGTCAGCAGAGCACCTCATGAAACTGGGGCAGCTGATCCCGAGCTGCTGGGTGGTGATGACGCCGTAGCTGATGCTGAAGAAAAGGATATACACTCTTTTGAGATCGATCCATCTCAGGTTTTCAACCTCAATCAGCGTCAGAATTTCATTGGGCCTTGTTCTGCGTTGGGTAGCAAATGGATAAAACGCTCTTTTGAAGTCATCATATAATATATTTTGGACACATTTATGTCTAGCAGCTCTCTGGAGTAGAAACAGCTCATCGGTTGAAGACATTTTTTGGTTTCTGTTGGAACCGTACTACTTAATTGTAATGCAGGTAGTTTGTGTTTGAAATTTCAGGTTGAGCATGTGAAACAGCGCTGCCTGCCAAATGCTTTAAATTATCCGATGCTCGAAGAATACGACTTTCGAAACGACAATGTAAGTGTTCAGATCCAGTGTTGACAATATCTTGCGACCAGCATGCTGCGTGGAAAGGACGAAAATGTTTTATCAATGTGCCGTTGGGTCGCAGGTGAATCCAACTTTGGACATTAAACTCAAGCCCCAGGCTCAACCACGACCTTATCAAGAAAAAAGTTTGAGCAAGATGTTTGGAAATGGTCTGCAAAACAACCTTTATAGTGCATCTTGACTTTTAAGGACCCTGTAGGAATGTGTGAACTTTCACTTAATATCGTTAACATATTTTGAGTATTGCAAAGTAGTCTTTATGGCTGGCTCTAAATTTGATTATTTTGTAAATTTTGCTGTCGACATCTCATTTATCACTTGAAACACTGGTAACTGACAGGACGCGCCAGGTCGGGGATCATAGTGCTGCCGTGTGGGGCTGGAAAATCACTTGTTGGTGTATCAGCAGCTTGTCGAATTAGCAAAAGCGTGTTATGTCTAGCTACAAATGCGGTATCAGTTGATCAGTGGGCTTTTCAGTTCAAATTGTGGTCCACAGTGGGGGATCATCAAATTTCTCGGTTTACTTCTGACAGCAAAGAGAGGTTTCGGGGCTCTGTCGGAGTAGTGGTAACAACTTACAATATGGTCGCTTTTGGTGGCAAGCGGTCAGAAGAGTCTCAAAAAATCATCGAAGAAATCCAGAATCGGGAGTGGGGCTTGCTACTTATGGACGAGGTACTTCTAATTATCAAATATTTTGAAGAATACTTTGTCCGAGGTTTACCGTACTTGTAGATTCTGGGGCTTGAAGTTCTTGGACGCACTCTTCAAGAGTGTTAAGCTTTTCCTTTGAGACGCTCAAGATACAACCATCATGTGGGCTTTGTTCTTAGGTGCATGTTGTACCAGCACATATGTTTCGAAAAGTCATCAGCATTACAAAATCGCATTGCAAACTCGGGCTTACTGGTAGGCTGATTACCGGCCGAATAATTGATGTCAATTAGTTGCACGAATCTTGTTGGACTTTATGTATGTTAATCCATGAGTACACTTATGAGAAACTTTGAAGTTTCCAGCTATGAGAACGTGCCTCTGTTTTCGTCAGAGAAATTTACATTCAAGGTTTTCATGCCTTTGCATTTCAACACCGGAAGTTAATGGACCTGAGAACATTTGCTATCACTGAATTGACACATTTGTTCAATTGTCTCTGCAGCCACACTAGTTCGTGAGGACGAACGAATCAGTGATCTTAATTTTCTGATCGGACCCAAGTTGTATGAAGCAAATTGGCTGGATCTGGTGAAAGGAGGTTATATCGCAAATGTGCAATGCGCGGAGGTCTGGTGTCCGATGACGAAAGAATTCTACAGAGAATACCTTAAGAAAGAAAATTCAAGGAAGAAACAGGTTGGTCTTGAGCATAATATTGAGAATTTTAGACAGTGCGGGCTCAAAGATATTTACTGGACCAAAAGTAATGCGAAGTCAAAGATTATGTGTGTTTTCCATTAATTAATGGACCTTATTACCGTGGTCTTAGTATATGGTGTAATCATTTTACTGTATGTATTCAACTGAATGCTCTCTGCACCATGTCCCTATTTTAATTCTCCGTGTGTGCCGACATTCGTAATATAGACTACTCTAGTATCTGATGTTGTGTAAATTGTCATAGGGGCTTTACGTAATGAATCCAAACAAGTTTCGTGCTTGTGAGTTCTTGATACGTTTCCACGAGGAACAACGAGGTGACAAGATCATCGTCTTCTCTGATAATCTTTTTGCACTTCGTGAGTATGCAACAAAGCTTCGGAAGCCGTTCATTTATGGACCAACCAGGTATCTTATCAGCATCTCTTTGGATGACTTTTTTGAGTGTAATGATGCTCAACGTGACAGGGAATTTCTCAAGGACACAGCCAAGTTATGTTGACTTCAGTTGCTACAATCTCTCCAAATGTTTGACCAATTGTTAGAATTGGCGGAATGTTTGAATTGTTTGAATTGGCGGAATGTTGTTCCAGCCATCATGAGCGGACGCGAATCTTGTACGCATTCAAACATAGTCCGCAAGTCAACACCGTTTTCCTGTCAAAGGTGTGGTTTTCATTTCTCCTGTCTCGTGATTTTTATTTGAGTTAGTTCTGCCTTTCCCATTTGATGATAACTGAAGTTGTTTCTATAAACAGGTGGGAGACAATTCAATTGACATTCCAGAAGCCAATGTAATCATTCAGATTTCATCACACGCCGGTTCACGTCGGCAAGAAGCTCAACGATTGGGTCGTATTCTACGAGCAAAGGTTACGCATTGCATTTCGTTGTGTTTGAATACGCTAATAATGTTCGTCCGATTCGATTAATGATAGGTCATTGATTAGGTTTAATTTGCAAAACTTGCGGCTTGGATATCAATTTGTTATTGATAATCTAGACATGAATTTCCTGACTATTTTTTCAGAACTGAGAAATTGCTGGTTACTTAGAACGGCACGCCAGGATGTAGGAATTATGACAACTATTTCTATGAATAACCCGCTGTGATTATGTCATTCAGGGTAAACATAAGGATCGCATGGCAGGAGGTACAGAAGAGTTCAATGCATTCTTCTACTCTTTGGTTTCTACTGACACTCAAGTAAGTCCTCTCGGAGCGTTGTATCATTAAGCTATTGAATTGAGTTAATATCTTTGAAACATGTTTTTATGATAATCTTCGGTCGAATTGAACAGGAAATGTACTATTCCACGAAAAGGCAACAGTTTCTGATTGATCAAGGTTACAGCTTTAAGGTACTTTCGTGTGACTTTCGTGTGACTTTTTCTTGACTTGGTTCTCGTCTCCTTGGGAAGGAATGTGTCACGAAATGTAGCAGCTAGCAAGCCCCCCATTACAAATGTCATAATTTTCCAGGAAATTGCTTGTGGTCTGCATAGCAACTAGGTTCAGAAATTTCAGTACATTTGAGAGTATGTTTGGAAAGGCTAACCTCTGTATGTGGGATTTTTCTGGATGCCTGAAGGTGATCACGAGTTTACCACCTGCAGATTCAGGGCCTGAGTTGAGCTACCACAGTCTTGATGACCAGATGAACCTGTTAACTAAGGTGCGTGTTTTTGTCGGTATCTAAGTTGCAGTTTTCTGTGAGCTTTAAATCTAATGACGTGTTACCTTGTTCCCAAGTATCTTGCAAGAGCAAGTGACATGTATGTTCTTTCAGGTTCTTCATGCTGGGGAGGATTCAATTGGAATTGAGCAGTTGGATGAGGATGTGGATGACATCACACGTAACAGGTTCACCCGAAGATACGGCAATATGAGTAACATTTCGGGAGCCGAAGGTCGTCTCTACTACGAGTATAGGTGTGTCCTTCAACGCATGACTAGAATCACATGGTCTGTGTGTATCTTTTCTGAATATTATAATCTTGCGTGTATCGAAGTTCTGGTACTTAGGGCAGAATTTGGAGAAAGTGTGATGACTGCTCAATTTTAACGTTCCCTACGGATGTTCAGCACGGGCGGTCGTGGAAGAGTCAACAAACCCAAAGTGCGGGATCCGAACAAACCTCGCAATACTCTATTCAAGAAGCGTTTCACCTAAGATGCAATGGTTCTAATTAACAATTGCAATTTTAAATAACTACAAGTTGCAAATGGCATAGTAGAGAAAGGATATTGATTCGAGGATTTGTTGTGTTCCCTCGATCCTGGAGGTGTTGAAGCAGGGATTTGCCTGCGATGGTTACGCTAGAATTTTGGGCAACTGAGATCTGTAATTTGAGGCTTCGTATTTATAATTTACCTTCACTTCTATTAGGATCGCCAGCTTCAACAGATTGATACGAGGTTATCTTAAGGAATAGATTTGGATTTCATGACTTTCAATATTAGAAAGATTTTCGTACATACGAAAAACATAAATTCAAAATTTCACAAAGACTGATTGCCTAGTCTTGATGTTGAGGAAACCGTCATTTTATGTAATTTATAATTTGGAAAAATTATTCAAAACTGTAAGTGATTGATAGAATACAATGTAACTTTCATGTTTCTTTTTAGTCTGTAAAGAATTCTCAAATATTTTACTTACACTTTATTTTTGTTTTTATTTTTCCTCTCATTAGAAATACTAAATTATAACACAACTTGTCACACTCTTGATTTAATTCATGTACTGAAATACATTAAAATTTTGAACACTTTCTAATTTGTTTCCAAAAATACGTTTGTTAAAAGAATGAAATATAAATCCATTTAATAAAACAATTATTCATTTAGAAAGTATAAGCTAAATTACTTGCAGTTTTTCTTTTATTAACAGTCATCAAATTTTAAAAATTGGCACATATCAATTCATTGTATACATGTAAAAAGTTGGTGGCCAGACAACCTCTTAATTATGTTAATTGTCATCCAACAGAGCATTGAAACTCTTATTTTGCAGCATGCCTGATTAACTTGATACAGGTTACAGACAAGGTTACACTCAAGTCAAAAGTTGCACTTAAGCATTTTATGACATATTTGCACTACTATATGTGACCCCTTTGCCACCCTTAACATAGCAACAGTAACTTGGAGACACCATTGCCATAGTATTGCTCATTACATAAAATGGCCCAAGACATTTCCATTTGTTACAAAACCAATGGCCAAACAATCCCAACAATAATCAGTTTGTATTATAATCTCCAAAATTTCACATTGAGATTTATAAAAGCAAGAAGAAAAGACTATGTATTTAGTTCTTTAACTCATCTATATTTGAAAATATAAGAAAAATTCTTAAATTTTATTTATTTTTCATATTATTACTTATTATTCCAAAGTCTTTGTCTTTCCAATATCAAAACTTATTCAATACAAATCTAATTAAGATGAACATAATTTTTACTATTTATTTGTTGCATAAATCTCTATATGAAATTTTAGCTATAGCATTAAGTCGTATTGACTAGTGAAGCAACTATCATCTATCAAAGCTTAGATTGCACCAAATTTTACAACATTTGAAGTATAATAGAATACGATAGGCAAGCCAATCATGTTAGAGCACCAACAAGTAGAAATAAGGTCGATACCTTTGCACTCGTAGCAAGACCAAAGGATGCACTTAAGATCAAAGATATAGAAGAATAGGAGCATCTTTATATAAGTATTATATAAGAAGATGAAGCATGCAAGCACAAAGAAATACAAAAGCTTTATTACAACAACCATCTTGAAAAGACAAAGAAAAAATCTAAGTTGTCTCACAGAGAAAGATGCCATAAGCAATGACAACAATGGAAATGCAACAATACAAATCATCACGAATCTTCATTACAACATTGGCATAGGTCACACCTTTTTTTTTTTAATAATCTTGTAAGTACAAAAAAAAAATACAGTTGGGAATTTAGAATGAGGAGAATACTATTTCCTCCCTCTAGGAATAGATGACACCAATTCAACAAGGCTTACCATAGAATGGATGGTTAATCAAGAAATTAGAGGATATATTTAGTAGATATGGAGACTTTGACAAGAACATATACCACCCTCTACAAAAGTAGATCTAGAATAGTGTGAAGGACAAGAACTTGATGAAAAAGCAATTGAGACAAGTGAGCCTTCATTCAAAGAAAGGTAACAAAATATAAATAAACAAGTATGTATATTGAAAGAGAAATTGGAATAGCCATTGCCAAAAGACAAGAAAACTAGAGACCCTTGAAACTAGACTGGAAGCAAGAAAGGAGTTGACAAGAGTGAAGAAGGCTTCACTCTTGTCTTTATATATACTATCTAACTAGAGGCTACGTGGCGACGTTCTATAGGACCTCTAATATGTATGTGTTGACTTTGTAGGACACATGCCTTGACTTGTAAGGCAAGTTTTTCTATATGTCGGCCACATTGTTAGCTTGGTCTTCAAGCTAATAACATGTGTGGCACATGGCCAACTTGTTGACCACGTTTCTAAACCAAAAAGTCAATTAAAGACACTTATGAAGTCAAAGTAGCATCTATGAAGCTTCTAGGAAGCTTCTATATCAAATACTACAAAATTAACTTACTTTTACCTACTTTTACATACTTCTACCTATTTGTATATATAATTACTGGCTTACATGAGTATGTCCGTGACATTATCCCCCCTTCTAGGGACGAGTTCTACGAGGAGCGGTCATCATATATTGAGGAAATCTACGATGCGACAAATTCTATTCGCCACATACTCTGATCTTTGTTTTCTTCGAAGATGATTGATAGGACCTCTCAACCATTGGTAGTGTCCCATACCAGGGCGGGAAGACCACCCCGTTATTTGATCATTGTTGAGGCCTTCATAACTTCGTTTGAATAGAACATTTGGAATACTATCAGGAGTTGTTCCTACCTCTAGCACAATCACCAAACATCGAGAGTCTCTTCCCAAGTTGTGATACCAAATGCGTTGTATCTTGCCATCTATTCGAAGAATAACATGTCGTTCTTGAAGATCTTCATCTCGATTATGTCGTCTTGAAGGTTGTGACAATCGTGATGTCTCATCCGGCAAGTCAGCAAATGAAGGCTCTTGAGTCGAATCCGCTGGTTGTTGGTTCTCCATCTCCTGAGTGTCACAACTACAAAGAAGCTACAAACAAGGATTGAAAGTAGAATGTTATCTTGCCTAGATGTTGTTTCTTTTATAAAAAAAGGTTTTCATCTTGATTTTGATGGATTTTGTCAATGAAAAGCCTCCACCATCTTTGTTGCATTTGCAAGATTCTTTACTGGCTCCCATGTGCGTTCACTAATATCATATCAGTGTCAATGGACAAGATATTGTAATTTAGTTCGGTGCCACCTTGAATCCAAGACTTCTTCTACTTCAAACTCTTCATTATTGTCCACTTCGATGGAGCTTGTCATCTTCTTAGTATGTCCACTGTCTTGTATGATTAAAGAGACATGTGGAATACTCGATGGATTTTCATTGATTCTGGTAGATGTAAATGATATGCAATTGGATTGATTTATGCAGAAATAGAAAATGGTCGAAGCCTTCGATAGTCCAATTTGTCAAAAGAACAAGTGGTCTTGATATTGCGATGAAGTAGCCATATCTTACCACCCAAGTGGAATGGTGGTTGTTGCTTTCGATAGACATCCGCATTGACATTTTGTTGTTCTTGAGCCTCTTTTAACTACGCCTTCATCGTTGCATGTAGCTTTGACAAATGAATCGCCAAATCTTTCGCAGCAGGATTATCAATTTTTGAAAAGTTAAAAGTATCAAGTTTTAGATGATAACCATAATTAGTAAAGAAAGGTGTTTGTTTTGTAGAAGAATGTATCGTGTTAATGTAAGTAAACTCTGCCAATGGCAAAAGAGTTGTCCAATCATCTTATTGGAAGTTAATGGTACATCTTAAATATTGCTCCAAAACTTGATTAACACGCTCTGTTTGTCCATCGGTTTGAGGATGGAATATCGAAGATAGTTTTATATCCACTTTTAGAATCTTGAAAAGAGTCCACCAAAATCTTAATACAAATTGAGTTCCCCTATATGATATAATATCCTTAGGTAATCCATGATAGCGATAGATATTGTCAAGAAAGAGCTTAGTTGTTTCTTTACCTGTGATAGATTTTATACATGGTACAAAATATGCCATCTTGATAAAACTATCTACTATCATGAATATAGAGTCATAAGAACCTGAGATTGGAAGATCCATGATGAAGTACATAGAAACAAAAGACCATGGTTGTTCTAGAATGGATATTGGCTGAAGAAGTCCAAAAGATCAATGACGAGGAGTTTTTGATCTTGAGCAAACATCACAAGATTGTACAAAATCTTTGACTGCCTTTCACATTTGAGGCCACCAAAAATCCCTAGATATCAGCTCCAAAGTCTCATTGTATCCAAAATGTCCTACTGTTGGGAAGTCGTGACGAGCTTGAAAAATACGTAAAGGTGCTTCTCCTTCTGGAACATATAGGTGTCCTTCGAAATAGAGTAGGTTGTTCTTGAACTCGAATTTAGAGGGATCTTGAGATTTAGAAGAATTATTCTTGATATCATAAACAAGAGGGTCTGAAGACATACTTAACTAGACTTGCTTGAGAAAAGTTAAATCAACAGTCAATGTTGATTTTATTGCTCAAAGATGAAATTGCTCCGGCTTCAAGAGAACCGTTCTTTATCGCTCAAAAGCTGCATCTCCTTCTTTTGATACAAGATAAGAACGTCTAGACAAGACATTGGATAAACCTTGTTATTTTCCTTGCCGATAAGTGATGATGAATTCAAATCTTAATAAAGACATGCTCCAACGAGCTTGACGAAGATTTAATACACATACAGACATGAAATACTCGAGGTTCTTGTGTTCCATATACACGGTGACTGGACTGGAAGCGCCTTCTAGATAATGATGTCATTCTTGAAAAGAATCCACAATTACAAGAAGTTCTTTGTCATGGATCTCATAATTGATTTCTACTACGGAGAATTTTCTTGAATGAAAGGCTATTGGATGAAGTTTGTCATCTGTTCCCATTTAAGACAAAACCGCACCCAAAGCAAAGTTTGATGCATCTGTTTCCATAAAGAACGCTTTGGAAAAATCAACACGATACAAGTTTGGTGCAAAAACAAACGCTGTCTTCAAAGATTCAAAAGTAACTTCCGCTTCTTTATTCCATTAGAGTTTCTCTTTACAAGTCAAAAGTGTAAGTGGAGCTGCAACTTGAGAGAAGTCTTTGATGAAGATCCGATAGTAGTTGGCAAATCCCAAAAAGCATTAGACATCTCTTACCGTTTTTGGGATCTTCCAATCTATAATAATTTGAACTTTCTTAGGATCCATGATAAGTCCATCATTTGAAATGATGTAACCTAAGAAATTGACTTGAGCAGTGTGGAATACATACTTTTCTATCTTGGCATAGAGTCCCGCATCTCTTAATTTTTATAACACACGATGAACATGAAGTTCATATTCTTCTAGATTCTTAGAATAGATCAAGAT